GCTCCTGTGTATAGCTAGTTGGCATACGTTGGAATTGGCAAAAGTTATTAGTCCCATCAACCTGGAAGCAAGTATATATACTAAAGAGCTCCCCCAGCTGAAGCAGGTTGAAGAAGTCCACTCAGATTCCCTGTGACATTAATCCAGGGAAACCAGAGTTCTTAGGGCAACTTATTCAATCATATGTTGGTTCTAAGGTAATTAAGACATTTAGTACAACTCAACTCTAATACGTCATTATTGGACAAACATATGGTAAAAAAATAAACAACACTTGCATAATGCTGTATAGTTTATAAAATGCCTTGCCACATCCCGTTGATCAGTCATAATTAAAAAATACTGTGAGGTAGATCGTATTATTTCCACTTTACGCATGAGAAACCAGTTACAGAGTTTGGAAGTGTTGGTGCTGTGGTTTAAATCCTCATCATCTGATTCTATCTTTGTGTTCTCTCACTGTGCTACACAGAAAATAAGGCATGGCCTATGGAAGACAGACTGTTATGGATTGAATTGTTTCCCCCCAAAATGTGTATCAGTTTGGCTAGGCCATGATTCCCAGTATTGTATGATTGTCCACATTTTGCCATCTAATGCGATTTTCCTATATGTTAAAAGTCCTACCTCTATGATGTTAATGAGGGAGGATTAGAGGCAGTTATGTTAATGAGGCAGGACTCAATCTACAAGATTGGATTGTTTTAAGCCAATTTCTTTTGAGATATAAAGAGAGAAGTAAGCAGAGACACATGGGGATCTCAAGCAGAGTGCATCCTTTGGACCCAGGGTCTCTGCACCTGAGAAGCTCCTAGACCAGGGGAAGATTGATGACAAGGACCTTCCGCCAAAGCAGACACAGAAAGAAAGCCTTCCCCTGGAGCCGGCGCCCTGAATTGGACTTCTAACCTTCTAGACTGAGAATAAATTTCTCTTTGTTAAAACCATCTACTTGTGGTATTTCTGTTACAGCAGCTCTAGGTAACTAAGACACAGACTGACCTAGTGTAATACAAAACTGCATTAAATATAGATCAAATTAAGGACCAAAGAACTCTGATTGTACCAACCAGTGTCAATCATTAACAAGAATTTGTTGACCCTAAATAAGCACTATGAGATTTGTAAAGTTTTGATTAAATCAGGTCCGTAAGTATAAGTCAGTATATAATAACAACAAAAGATGGATAAGTACAGATGTAAGTTTATATATATCTAACAGATTGACAATAATAACATATCTGTGCTGATGTCAGTAATGTTATCTCTTTGTGTGTATACTGCATTAAAAGGAGGAATTGGTGATAGCCCTGTGAGGAGGATTTTGAGAAAGTCATGTTGTTAGTTGACTGAGATCAGTGGAAGGCCTTCTCTTCCACATGATTCACTGAGCGTGTTCCATAGATATGCTTGATGCCTAGCAATAGGCTGACGACTGGGGGTACCGAGGCAATACACAGTACTCAGCCTTTGAGGAGTTTAAATCTAGGGAGAAGCTGAATGTAGTGGAGGAAGCGAGTTCTTCTTGGTATAGGTAGAGAAATCTTCTCAGACCTGTATTTGAACTAGGGCTTGAAGAATGAGTAGGAGCTCAGTCACCAAATAAGGAAGAAAAATATTCTTCCTAGGATCAGTGAAGTATGAGCACGCTCTGAAGAGTAGAAGGGAATGTGTAACGTTCTGGTGGTTGTAAATTGTTGAGGGAGTGTGGCAGTTCTAGGGACTGTTTGTCCGCTTTCCTTTCCTTAGAAACATGTAGGGTAAATCGAAGAGAACTGCATATAATACCCAGTGAAAGCTTACTTTGGACATCATCAGGAAAGACCAATCTCTAGAAAGAACATCATGTTTGGTAAATTAGAGGGTCAGCAAAAATGAAGGAAACCCTTAGTGAGATGAATTGACACAGCAGCCACAGGAACGGACTTAAACATACCAAGGATCATGTTGTGTAGGATTTTATCTTAGAAAATTAATAGATAAATTCAGGTTTGTTGTACATAAACTTGTTTAGTTTATTGCAAGGTATTCATGACAAGGCACACAAGTAAGACTTCACAACATTCATTTAGAACCAGAGACTTGGAATTGATAATTACAAGCACAATGTTAGTTCAGTGGTTAGAATCCAAATCTATAGATTTCAGGTTTTTACCTTTAGCAGGAGGTCTCAGGAGGAAGGCTTAACCATGACTCGAACTTGGCGAAGGTCCCTTGTAGCTAGAGTCCAAGGTCCGTGACAGTGGATAGAAACTCAGTTCTATCTCTGCCTTCTCTCAGTGAGTGAGCAGAAATTTAGGGTTTATATGTGAATTTTTCACCTTGGCTCCACACGTCAAGGGCCAGTGTGACGTTAGAGACTAGTATGTTATTTCTTTTCTCCAGGGTTAAAGAGTAGCCAAATGATGCATCTTCTCTTCAAGGTTAGAGACTAGGGAGGTTGTTTAGATTTATGTTCTGTTTTCTTGTGTCACAGCATGCCGCGTCAAAGTGAACTTAAAGGTTGTTTACGTTCTTTGAATACTTTACATGCTTCTATGGTTCTATGTCTAAGTTCACAAATTTTCTAAGTAACTTTCTTATGACTTAGTTAATGTTAGAGAGCCTCACAAAAGTATACATATTTCTAAGTTCATATTATGAGTGCTGGTTAAGAGCTCAGGCTGTTAACCAAAAGTTTGGCAGTTTGAATCCACCAGCCGCTCCTTGGAAACCCCATGGGGCAGTTCTCCTCTGTCCTGTAGGGTCGCTATGAGTCCGGATCGATTCAACAGCAACAACTTATGCATAAATATTTTGAAAGCATAATAATGTCCTATACCGGATGGGATTTGAGATTGTCATAGAAACATACAGAACAGATCATGAAGATGTCCTGTTATACATAAGGTCGGAGCCAACTGGAGGGCAGCTAACAACGACAACAAGGGGTTTTTAACTCTTTTTTTTACTTCTCTATCTTCGTATAGTCAAGTCACTCTGCCAGTGTAAATGTTCTTTATTTATACTGGCTAAAGTTACAGTTGTCTAGAATGTGCTTCAGAATTGTTATGAAGGTAGCTTTTTACTTTGTATTTTGACCACTTCCTGTCATCAGTTCTGATCCGTTTTCCCTGGCCACCACTGCCTCCCCTCCTTCCCCCTGTACACATTGGAGTCCTAACTCTGCAGCAGTCCTCGAGTTAGTACCTTCCAGCTTCTGTCTAGCATAAAAACTTGAGAACCATTGCCATAAATGACAGGAAGACTTTTTTCTTAAATATTATCAGGGAAGAACATGAACCTATACGTTTTATAGAAATATATCTCATTGCTCATGATCAGAAAAGACTGGAATGGAAATTGTTGGCAGCTGGGAAGCGAGTCAGGGGATGTTTAATATTCCAGCTAAGAGAGGATGATCTGTATGAAGGCTGCAGCAGTTGAGATGGTGAGCATGGGCTGGAGTGTAGAGATGTTAATGAGGTGGTATTAATAAGACCTGATAATTCATTATAAAGTGAGAAAAATCAAAGGAGACTCTTAGATTTCTCATGGGGTGATTGGGTAGATACTGATATCATTAACATGTGTAGAGAATAGTAGAGAAAAAAAGGAACTGGATTTTTTTAAAAGTGTGGGTGGGAAGAAAAACAGGAAGATGAGGAGTGTACATAAACTTTTTTGGACACTTTTTAGTTTACAGGAAATCCAAGTAGAGAATAGGAGAGGGTCTAGGGATCTAGAGCTCAGGAGAGAGGTGGGAACTGGAGATGGGTTATCTGCATGGAGATGGAACTAAAGTGTTGAGTGTGAATCTGAGAAGAGATCCAGACTGAGGTATGGGTTTTCAGGTTCCTTCCCATGATATCAGATGCCTAACAGAAGGAAGTCATGTGCTGCTGCTGCTGTTGTTGTGTGCCGTTGAGTTGACCTCAGCTCATAGAGACCCAATAGGACAGAGTAGACCTGCCCCATAGGGTTTCCTAGGCTATAAATCTTTATGGGAGCAGATCTCCAGGTCTTTTCTCCTGTGGAGCTGCTGGTGGGTCAGAACCGACGACCTTTTGGTTAGCAGCCAAGTGCTTAACCATTGCACTACCTGAGCTCCTTAGTCATGTGCTAGGGACTGCAAAAAAAAAAGATGACTAAATTCCCTTTCTTTAAGGAGTTTGAGAAGTATTCTCTACGTTTGCACTGTTTTATGTTTTATTACCATGACCGATCTGTCAATCTGTTGTACAGTGGTGGCTTGCATGTTGTTGTGATGCTGGAAGCTATGCCACCTATATTTCAAATACCAGCAGGGTCACCCATGGTGGACAAGTTTCAGTAAAGCTTCCAGACTAAGACAGACTAGGAAGAAAGGCCTGGTAATCTACTTCAGAAAATCAGCCAGTCAACACCTAAAGGATCTTAAAAGAACATTGTCCGACTTGCTTACTTTGAATTCATCATCAGGAGGGATCAATTGCTAGAGGACAACATCATGTTTGGTGAAGTAGAGGGCCAGCAATAGCAAGGGAGACACTCAGAGAGATGGACTGGTACGATAGTCACAATGATAGACTAAAACATGCTGGCAGTTGTGAGGATGGCACAGGACTGAGCAACATTTCCGTTGCACGTAGGAACACCATGAGCCAGCATCTACTTGATGGCAGCTAACAACAACAAATGTTTTATTAAATGTTTTCACATATACTGTCTTTTAGAAAACTTCCTCATTAAATTCTGTCATTTAAACAGACATTTTGTAACGCAAGGAACGTCCCCAAATTAAGAGTCAACCACTTTACTGACAGACATAGATATGGCAGACATGATGAGATATACAGATTATGCTTCTAGATGGCCTGAAACGGTGTTGTTGTCGTTAGGTGCCATCGAGTCAGTTCTGACTTGTAGTGACCCTATGTACAACAGAACAAAACACTGCCTGGTCCTGTGCCATCCTCACAATCGTTGTCATGCTTAAGCCCATCGTTGCAGCCACTGCGTCAGTCCATCGTGTTGAGGGTCTTCTACTTTTTTGCTGACCACCTATTTTACCAGGCGTGATGTCCTTCTCCAGGGACGGATCCCTCCTGATAACACGTCCAAATAGAAGAATATAAAAAAATCAATTATTTTACATTTAGAATATTGGGTAACGTGGAGGCAGACAGACGTATAGTGACATTTAAGTAATAGGACCTTAGTTAACCAGCAACCTTAACTATTTGTGACCCCTCCAATGACTGGGAGTTATATACACAAGGACTCTCAGAAGCCAACTAGATGTCACATGGTACACCCACTTCACTTACAAGAGAGAATATTTCATCCTTCGGATGTATTTTATATTTCTTTCCATGCAAATTTAGCTAGCTTATTTTTCTGGTTTCAAACAAAATATACAACGGATGAGAAACAGCAAATTTGAGTTGACCATCTTAGCAAATAAGAGGACCTTAAGAATTAATTAGTTAAATTTCCTCATCTTACTTAAAACCAAAGAGGTTAAGTGATTTATCCAAGGTCACTTGCCTAGAAATAGTAACCCAAATCCACTTGACTCTTAATCCAGTATTCTTTTTATTCCACCACAGGGCAGAAGGAGGCTCTATAAAAAGCATCACAATATTGAGAAGTAACAGCGTAACAGGCTATAGAATGCAGATACAAGAACTCAAGAAGCACCACGGTTTCAGGTCATTTGGGGTAGACACACTTCAGTGGGCTCTGAAGTTATCTCTTTGTGCAGCGTTGCACAGTCATTGGTGTTGATAATTATTAGTCTGAGTCATCAAGAAAAAGTTAACTTATACCCCTTACTGTGTATTTTAAATATATTAGGAATGTTTCCATCCCAAGTGGTTCATATTTTTTTTTCTTTTAAGTTTGCTGTTAAAAGAGATTAACCCATTTAGAAAACAATACTCTTCAGAACATAATATTCTCAAGAATTCTGTATAACTGAAGCTTATTGGTGGAAGGTACAGACTTCTCTTTTGATCTGCTTACTATCTCATTAAAAAAGACAAGACTCAGACATTTGGTGCAGAGAATAATATACAAAACCAGAACGAAACCTGTTGCCATTGAGTTGATTCCTACTTTTGGTGACTCCAGATATTATAATAGAACTGCTCCATAGGGTTTTCTTGGCTGTAGTCTTTGCGGAAGTCAGTCTCCAGACCTTTCTTCTGTGGTGCCACTGGGTGAGTTTGAACCTCCAAGCTTTAGGATAGTAATCAAATGCAAACTATTTGCTCCATCTTAGAGAATAATATAACCTACCTTGTTGTGTTCTATCTAGTTGATTCCAACTAATTGCAACCCTATCGGACAGAGAAGAACTGCCCCATAGGATTTCCTAGTCTGAAATCTTTAGGGGAGCAGATAGCCAGGTCTTTTGTCCTGTGGAGCTGCTGGTGGGTTGAAACTGCAGACGTTTTGGTTAGCAGCCAAGCACTTAACCATTGTGCCATCAGACTTAAAAACCAGTTTCTGTCCAGTCAATTCCGACTTATAGCAACCCCATGGAACAGAGTAGAACTGCCTCATAGGGTTTCCAAGGCTGTAATCTTTACGGAAGCAGACTGCCACAGCTTTCCTCCTTTAGAGTTACTGATGAGTTCTAACTGCCTACCTTTCGGTTAGCAGCCAAGTACTTAACCACTGTGCCACCAGATCTCCTATTCTTTATAACCTCCCTTAAAGGTTGCATAATCTTATTTAGAACAGAAAACCCGCTGTAGTTGAGTCAAATGTTTATAGGAGGGAGTGATCTATGCCAGATACCTTGCTTACAAAGCCGATGGCTTAAAGCTTATCCTTGGAGGAAAGCAACAGAGACTCAGCAGGTTTTTTGTTTTTTTTTAAAAAATGTTTTATTGTTTTTTCTGTGTTGTATTTTTTTTTTTTTTTAACTTTGATTTAGAATGGGGTTACACGTTGCTCACTTTTATCTTTTGGCTTTGAACACCACTATGTTTGATATCTGTTATGTGACCGTATATTCCAATCTTGGCTGATTCCTTCATATTTGGCATTTTCGTGGCTCTCAGCCTGCACTTATTCAAACTCATTTTCTCAGTTTTGGTGGCTGGCACAGCCACATCTTAAATGGTCATTGGTCATTCTTGGTTTAACCCCTCTAGCTGTCAGCCTCTACCTTCCAACTCTTTCTTCTAAGCCAGAAAAGCTGATTACCAAATAAAAATGTATTTAATTACAGGCTTGTTAAATTTGCATTCATAGGAAGCACTAGAAAGCAAATTTTGTGACCTTTTTAAAGGAAAGGAACTTGTCAGAATTGAGCATTTGATTTATCTTTAACCATATTCTGGTATTTATTTTGGTCACCATTTTTTAACATTTTTAGCTATAAAATTCATACGTAAACTTGCATAAGATTTTAAAAAGGGACTAACATTTTCTTTCTTTCTTTCTGCAGTTTGGAATATTTAGGCGGCCTAGAATTACTTACAAGTTACAAGTTACTGTAACATGGAAAAGTCAGTTTGATTGAAGTCAATTGTGCATTGCAGAATATTAACTCACATTCAACTCTATTTCCTGAGTAAAATACTGGCAAATTGCTAGGCATATAAATTCAAGGTCATTGCGTCTTAATGCTGGTGTAAGACATTAGGGTTACTTTCTCTTGAATAGGTTAAAGGACTGTAGGAAGATCGAGAGCAGATTATGGAATGGACGACTTCGTGACAGTGAGTGAAATTTGTATTTTAGTCCAGTCTTTTTGCACAGGAAACTGGAAGAGGCCATGGAGGTCAGGACTGCATTCAAACTTTCCTCAAATGAGAGTTGTGGCTATCCTCTTCTTACAAATTCCCCCAAAAAAAGAGATTCCATGACCTCTGTTGACCACACATTTCAGAGTCACACAATTGGACTTGTAAGGAATTCCTTCTAAAGCCCATTCCTAATCCTTTTTCTTTCAGTTAGTTTCTTCTCTCTGACAACCTTTTTTTTTTTTTAAACTTTTATTGTTGTTTGCCCCCACACCCTTATTTTCTCTTGTAAGGAGCCCTGGTGGCACAGTGGTTAAGTACTCGGCTGCTAACCAAAAGGTCGGAGGTTCAAACCCAACAGTAACTCCACAGGAGAAAAGCTGTGGCAGTTTGCTTCTGTAAACACTACAGCCTTGGAAACCCTGTGGGGCAGTTCTGCTTTGTCCTACAGAGTCACTATGAATTGAAATTGACTCAATGGCAACAGGTTTTGGTGTATTTTCTCTTTATCAAAACAATATATACTCATACTAATTAGAGAAACATCAGAACACTTAAAAGGAAATAAGAGACTAGAAATGTAGAGCTACCATAATTTGTTATCCATAATTTGTTAGGATCCACATAGTTGAATGCCTTTTCTGTGTTTTATTGACTATGCAACGGCATTTGACTGTGTGAATCCTAAAAAATTATGGATAACATTGAGAATAATGGGAATTCCGAACAGTTAATTGTGCTCATGACGAACCTGTACACAGACCAAGTAGCAGTCGTTCAAACAGAACAAGAGGATACTGAAGTTGTTTAAAATCAGGGAAGGTATGCATCAGGGTTGTATCCTTTCACCGTATTCAATCTGCATGCTTAGCAAATAATCTGAGAAGCTGGACTGTAGGAAGAATGCAGCATCAGAATTGGAGGAAGGCTCATTAACAACCTGTAATACGCAGATAACACAACCTTGCTTGCTGAAAGCCAAGAAGAGTTGAAGCACTTACTGATGAAGATCAAAGATGACAACCTTCAGTATGGATTACTCCTCGACCTAAAGAAAAAATCTTCACAACTGGACCAATAAGCAACATCATGATAAACGGAGAAAATATTGAAGTTGTCAAGGATTTCATTTTACTTGGATCCACAATCAGTACTCACGGAAGCAGCAGTCAAGAAATCAAAAGACCCGTTGCATTGGACAAATCTGCTGCAGAAGACCTCTTTAAAGTATTAAAAAGCAAAGATGTCACCTTGAGGACTGAGGTGCACCTTACCCAACCATGGTCTTTCCAGTCACCTCATATGCATGCTAAAGCTCGACAGTAAATAAGGAAGATTGAAGAAGAGTTGATGCCTTTGAATTATGGTGTTGGTGAAGAATATACAGTGGACTGCCAGAAGAATGAATACATCTGTCCTGGAAGAAGTACAGCAAGAATGCTCCTTAGAAGGGAGGATGACAAGACTTCATCTCACTTATATTGGACATGTTATATCAGGAGGGACCAATCCCTGGAAAATGACATCATGCTTGGTAAAGGGTCAGCGAAAAAAAGAAAACCCTCAATGAGATGGATTGACACAGCGGCTGCAACAGTGGGCACAAATGTAGCAACAATTGTGAAGGTAGCACAGGACTGGACAGTGTTCTGTTGTACATTGGGTCACTATGAATTGGAACTGTCACCTAACAACAACAATAACCATAATTTGAATATAAGATCACTTCAGATATGCTATTTGTATTTTTATTTTTCTACTTAAGAATGCATAGTGAAAGTTTGTGCATGCCAGTGGACACATTTCTACATCTTTTGAAGTAATCCCATGTTGTATTTATATTATGGTCTATGAAAATTTATTTAACCACTATTTTAATTTTGGACATTTAGGTTGCTTCCAAGATTTAGTGATTATAAACAGCAGAGAAATAAATATTCGTTTGCACATCCTCATTTATTACCTTAGGATAAATTCCAAGAGTTAGAATTGCTAGACTAAAGCCATGTGTATTTTTATGGTTTTTGGTATTTTCTGCCAAATTGCCCTACCGTTTACAGCCCTACCCACTAGAGAATGAGCGTGGCCTGCTCTTAATTAATGTATATTGCAGCCACAGCACTAGAACTTGGAAAAGATAGCCCACTGGCATGAGATGGTCATTTCCTAGCTTGAAGAGCATGTTTTAAAAGGTGCTTAATAACTATGACTCTTCCCCTTCCCAAATTCCAGTTACTTCATGTCTTTTAGTGACAGTGGGAAATTTTAATAATTTTGTTCTCGTTTGAAAATGCAAAGAGGAATAGTGAGAAAGCGAACAGGAGTTTGGAGCATTGTGGAATTGTGTGCACGAGTATTCTCTGTGTCTGCTTCCCTAAGGATGTTTAATCAGCCTCCACAGCATTCCTATGTGCATGGGGTGCTGTGAGTATCATCAGTCACCATGTTGATATAAGTGCAAGGTCTTTGAATGGGTGACAATCAAGGTCCCCATCCATCGCCTCTGCCTGATCTGCAAACCCCATCAATCTGTCTTTGTATAGGACTGTTCAGAGGTATGTAGAGGCTGCACTCCCTGTGTGTGTTAGTTGGAAAAATCAGGTTGATACAATTTCTAACTTTTCAGAAAGAATGAAGAAATAGACCATCAAAAAATAAATTGTGCTTTTAAAAGAAAATACTTCTTATGGGGACTTAATTGAAATGTTTTCCACTGTAGAGTCTTTCATCTAAAATGAAAATAAGTATGTGAGAAACTTACTGTCTTGGGAAAATGTACTTTTTTTCTTCCCTTACAAATGCCTTTATTAATATTAAGTCACTTCGAAAGCTCAGGTGACATAACAACATGCCTTTAAGATAATAACTGTTTTTTCTTAGAACTTTCAAGTTTAGACTGCTAAGAATGCTGAGAATAGTAGCTAAAATGCCAATTTTCATATTCAAATATCATC